GACACTTTATATGTAAATAAATGTAAAATATCAAACTCAGTAAAAGAAATTAGCAATCAAAACCATATGTTGATAGCAGTAGCAATTTACAAATATAAATGGGAAGTGGTCGAGTATAATTTACGTTCAAGTTAGGAAATTAGTATTAAAAGATAAAAAATATCCTAAAATGCTTTCTGAGAACATGATAGGCTTGCGCTCTATACATATAATTGCCATTCAGAAAAGGAAAAATTTTTGATAATTCTTTTTGATTGTATGTCGTATTTAGAACAACACACCATAATGTCTTGTGCATTCTTTTAACATGCAAGTTAAAGCTAAAATGGTGGTTATCAAATCGAATATACAGTGAATGTAGACTGACTTGCCAGAAAATATGTTGCACTAATCTAATACTTAGTAGGTACTTTGTGTTAGCGTAGAAACTTCAAAAACACTAAAGGCATAGACTCCATGAGCATGCGGATAGGCAATTAATATCATACTTCCTGAGAGGGGTTCACCATATTTTTTGTATTCTGAAGTATAGGGTTTCTGTCTTTTACAGCACGTTGTTTGGCTTTCCTTATGTGCCCGATAATACTTAATTGTGGTGACTTATGTGACCACAGAAAATTTCCAAGCACAAGATATTAAACTCAAATAGATGTTCCACTATCCACAATTCCCTAATCTTTTTTTTTTTATCTAGAATATTTCTTAATATGAGGAACGCATTCATTAAGTTATCTTCCTATTTGGTAATGTGCAAAAAACCGAAAATATTTGAGCCATGATATCAATACTTTTATAAGATTGAAATTCCATATTAGTTGCAGCATCATTCTTTAAGACAGCAAATTTATTCGAAGTTGGTGCTTCTAATGGGCTAGAGCCCATTTATGGTAAAATTAACTACTGATCTAAAGTTCCTCTTATTTGTTTTGTTTTGTTTCATTTTTCCGTCTACTAATTCTGAAGTTCTACCCATCTTTTTCTCTAAGGAGTAGAAATAAGCATTGTTCTTGGTTACAAATACTGATAAAAAAATGTTTTATCTTGCTTACCTTCAAGAATTTCCTTTTTGAAATTCGGCGTCGTATTTCCTAATCAGGCAAACAGATGCCTTCTGAAGACACTAGCCGTTTCTTATCTAGTTTCTCTGCGGAAAGTTTTGTAAGGGCCCACCAGCGGCTGAGCGATAAAGTCGCTGAACCCTGGTAGTTCGGTCCGAGGTTCAAATCCCGCGAATAGGCTGGCTGCATGGACGTTTTCGTGTTTTTCCCCATGTGTAACGTGTATACGAGCCAGTTTCCCTTAGAAAGTCCTCCACGAAGGCATCCCTCCTCTTAGGCAGATAGCCCTCGAGGCTTTGCCATAATCACACACACACGGAAAGTTTTGTAACATAAAATCTCACGCTGAATAAAGAATCTTTTCATAATCAGGATATCATACTAATTTTTATTGAAACTGAAATTAATATTTCGTGTGAATACTCTGCACGCTCGGCGCGTACTCGCGAGGTCCGTGGATGCTAGCTGTGCTTCTTAGACGATAGTACCTATAAAAAAGATTCTAACTTTAGGAGTAATAATTCTTCACGAGAGAATTCGATATGGAATTGTCTGCTGTTTTCTTGCGTAGAGCTGCAGCAGCACGCTAAATGCAGTCCTGACTTATTCTTGGATAACGAATGCAGGCAGCATTTCATCAAGCCGACTCCAGCCGCTAAAAAGCGCTTCGAATAGCGGACGATATTCTAATTCATAGATTGTGTAACGGAAACAACTTTCATTCACACATAGCCTATTGTGGTCATCAAAGGCCCATTGTGATCAAAGATCTATGATGACATTCCACTTTCCATAGGATCTTTATACTTAAAGTTACAGCAATATATTTCTTAAATGACTGAGCGATTGAAAAGCAATATATGTATTTTAACAATATACGTACTATAACAAATTGTTCACTCCTACAAACATCTGTTTCTTGACTTAAATAATAAAAAATTTCTTAACCACATACCTCAGAACAGTATAATCATTTATCCACCCCCTAACAATGAGTATTTAAATTATTATTGTTATTTTGCTGTTGTTAATGAGGATTAATGTTAACATTTTGCTTATTATATACAGTTTTCATTTAAAATAGTCTTATATTTTATGATATACTGTTTATAAAATGTGCATTTTATGTAAGTTTTTAATTAATAGTATTTTAAAGCAAGATGTCTTGAAATGACAACCTCAATTTTCTTCTTTAAATTAAGAAAGCTGATGTGTACACCACATGACTTCCTTGTACGAATTATTAAATTATACGCATTTTTCCTTCCTTTCATTCAAACTTATTGCCTCGAATTTCAATTAATTAATTCTCATTCAATTAATTCAGTTTTCACTTCGCGACAAGACAAAAATACATAAAAACTCAAAATATCTATATTAAAAATTGAAAGATGTAGAAACACATAAAACACCAAATGCAGCTAAACAATTAAAAAACATTTTTTTACAATTAAAATTACAGTTTCTACGCAAAAGCAAGCAATTCGGTTAGCAGGCAAGAAGGCAGATTTTCCGGTGCACAAAAATGTTTACTTTTGGTCTCACTCGGCAAAAAGACGCGGAAGGCGTAGAAACTGACTTAATTTGTTTGGACGCTATGCTGAGTCAATATATGGGACAATTTAATAAATTAAATGATAATTCCAGAATGGATTAAGCATAATTTAATTCGCAATAATAAAAGAAGACGTTACTTTGTTGTTGAGAAGGTTAGTTTCGCCAGACTGGCAACAAAACTGCTATTCTGCTAAGTTTTAAATGTAAACAAATATGGTAGCTATGGTAAAAGAAATTAGGCTGAGCCGCCCTTAAACAACTTTTAAATGGTTGATAATTCTACAGCTATTCCATGCAGATTAAATAAAGGCATAAAAAACTTAACCAGAAGATAAGAACAACATAATTCAATCATTGCTAAATCAAAAAATGCACAATTAGCAACATATAAGAATAAAAAAAAAATTGAGCTCACTGAGCCGAATAATAGAGCGTTATATATATATATATATATACTTGCCTACATGGATGACGAAACACGAATTGAATAATTGAAGAGTTAGGTTCGGAGGCCAACTTCCCCTTAATTAGTCTGTCTCCTGCCTGCTCAACAATTATTCACTTATGCATTTTTATAAATTTTTAGGATTAAAAAATTTATTGGAATTATATATTCATAGATTTTGATACTTGCACTTGATTTACATATGCTCTCAGAATTTAAATGATATTGTAGATTAGTTCACAGCAATAATTTATTTGTAATTCAATTTCATTTAAAATTTAATTAACTTTAAATTTGCTTTTTACGAATAGAGAATGTTTGTTAAATTCAAATATATATATACGTTTGGTGCGGCCGATTGCAACCAAAAAGGGAGGTGCACAACTACATGTTATAGCAGTCCTATATGCAAAATTTCAACGTTCTGAGGCTACTCGTTTTTGAGTTATGCGAAATGCTTACATACATACGTACGTACAGACGCCGTGAAAAAATCTCTTCCGAATCTATTTTAAATCAATTTTATAATTAGTTTGGGGGAAAAGAGTCCTTTATTCTTATTTTATTATTAGAGTAAGCAAGTCATAATTGTCCTTACTTGCAGATGTTACGCAAAAACATGGTTAAATTGCATTCGATAGCAGTCAAAATGGGTATTTGCTTTGAAATATGGTAACCGAAATTGTTGGTGATTACAATACTACCTTTACTTTGTATAAAGAAGTAAAAAGAAAAATTCATTATAACACAAATTCGTTTGGATATTTTTATTCTGGGGTATCATTTTGATTATTATAAATTGTAAGGTTTGTCCTAAGTTTTTAACAAGTTATTTTAAGTTAAAGTTACTTTCCTGTCCATCCTAATTTCAGCTTACAATTTTCTACCAGAAAGTGTTTTTAGAATCGCGTTTAATACAAATGAATAAGAGTAGTATTCAAGCTGAGGTTCCACTGACTTCAAGAGTTTCTTACTAACGCGCGTTTGCCTTTCGGCTACGTCTGCTTAAGCTGTTATTACGCTCGGCCGTGAACAGCTTAGTTATGATTATACTGTTCTGAGGCATGTGGTTAAGGCCTTTGATAGCTTCGCCAGCTTATTCGGTATTTAGGAGCCAGCTACATAGAATTTTGATAGCTTCGGCTATAATTCTTTAGTTAAGCATTAGTTAAGTGTTATTTCTTATTATTTTGAGTTCAAGCCCTAGGGCCCAAGGTCCAAGCCCATTTTTCTCAGGGCTTTGCCGTACGCCCTGAGAAAGGGGCCATCTGTTAACTCTTAAGCATTAAAGGGTAATTAACCGTTCTCGAGTTTATGTGTCTCTGTTTCTGAACGTAAGAGATTATTCGCTTAGCAGTTCACTAGGTTCCTCCACACTTAGTTGTTAGATAAAAGGATGGAATACCACAAAATAATATTTTATTTATATAATCTTTCCCTTAAAACGTTCTGTTAAAATCCATGTACTTATTTACGTTTTTCATAAAATACGAAATGGATCCACACTTTTCCGAACAGCATTTTTTTTTTTTTTTTTTTTTTTTTTTTAGAAAGGGATTCGTTTCTTATATGTCTAATAAAGTACAAGATGCATTCAAAACGTTTATTTACTTACATCTGGCAGCAGTACCTATAGAAGCATGTACCAAATCATGAACTCACATGCAATGAGTTTCTTTGCATTAAAACATTCTAATTCTAACTGAGAATGGTTCATAACATCCGAATGAAAAAATTTGTTAATATATGATCTAACATTTATTTAAAATATTCTGAATTAAATCTACGTCCGTGAAGTTGCAGGTGAATAAACGAAAAGTAGCGCGGCGCAATTATAATATCGCCAACAAACTGAAAAGACTGAATGAACTCCGTTTGTTTACTATGGCAACCCATCTTACGTTCTGACGGCACAAAGGTGAGAATTTAGTTTGATGTTTCTTAAATGTATTTAGCAGATACAAATTGGCATCAGGATGTAAAAAGCTTTTCCTGTAGGGGCAAATTGGAATTTATTCATATTTTTACTCTGTGTTCGAGAATATTATTACTATATGTATGAAAAGACTCGGAGGTAAGTTTTTCACGAAAATAAACCTGATTTGTGTTACCTAAATATTCATATATTTTTATTAAATGGTAGAAAGTTGATTTTAATGTTATTTATAATATTATTTAGTAAAAATATCAACAAAAAATTACATGTATTTCTGCAGTGAAATACTTTTACTAAGGAGTAAATTAAATTATATACTTTATATTTTATTATGCAATATTGAAATTTAGAAAGATTTTTAATCACAAAATGAAATTTTTTCATGGCAAATGAAAATAAAATATTTAATTCTGATAACAGTAGCTCAGTTCACCTTCTTTTCTACTCCTTAGCATTTTGCTGTTCACAGATAGTTGATTTAGAAGCCTGGAATGTAATTTGAGGTGAACGCAAATGTATTTATAAAAATATATCTTTTTTAAATTAAATTAAGATATATTAGTTATATGCCTTTATTTCAAAACTGAGTTAGTTTAGTAACAAATGCTGTAAAATTAAGTACTTTTATCTATTTAATGTTAAATATATAAATTCAGAGCTGATGCTTTTTAATTTCAAATTAATTAAAAGGAAAAGCACGTTGCAAGAAAATAATTTTTATATAAGTTCAGGAAATTTAAACACTGAATATTCAGCTGCATAAGTATATGCATAAGTAATTATTAATTTTATAGCCTTATTATCTCCTCCGTCAAAACATTTTCAACAATTAAATTTTAAAGAAAACGGTAACTTCGGAAGATTTGATGTTAGAAAACGTGGTGTAAGAATTTTTATTTTCCCGAGTTTTTGCCTCATCCGTTATTTGATTCTACTGCATTATCATTTTTTTATAAACATCAATTTAATTAATAGAGTAGTTCACATATTTTTCAGACTTTCGTGCTTTTCCGTTTTATTTACAAATAACAGTTTAAAATTTGTTTGTTTTAAAAGTAGTTATTTAAATTTATTTAAAAAAATAATTCATTCAAAATTAGTCGAATTTTGAATAACGAATTCGAAAGAGATATTCAAATGCAAATATCAAGGATACTGTGGATATTGCGAATACTTTTATCATTAATAAAAAAATTAATATTTTAACAGGACATTAATTTTAACGTCTTGGCATGTTCACTTCGGATTCAGAAACATTAACATATTTTATTAAAGCAAGTCATAATTTACAAATACAGACGATAATTCTTGTGATGTATTTTCATAGAAAACAAAATATTACAGCAAGAAACATTGTCTACTAAAACAACTCAACCAACAACTCTTTTTGAACAAATTATTTTATTGCAAGGACTATTTTGATGATATTTAATTTTCAACAAGCAAGGCTTCAAATGGAGAAGAAATAAAATATTAGAAAAAATTTAGTCTGTGTTTCAATATTTAGAGCGAGATTCATGCAAATGAATTTCAAAAATACAAGTGTCCGAAAGCAAATGGCAGCCATATTAAATATCATTTATGACATTAAAATCATCAGTTTGATATATACAGTGTCTCAAAAATATGACAGCACACTTTCAGCCTCCCAAAATAATGTAAAAATTTTTAATGAAATCATAAAACAGGGTTTTCGTTAAGACAAGCGCTTAATTAACTTTAGTTTTTTAACACTATATACTATATATTTCAAGGAATAAATAATTGAGCTTAATGATTAGTGGGTTTGCTATCCGAGGATATTCTGAGGATAATTTTGTATTTTGTTTTTAGCCCAAGAGAGTATTAGACAAAATGGACTATTAGCCTCGAAAAAGGGATTTTGAGTCAACCACTATAAATGTATCACATTTTAATTTCGCATAACTGTATCACTTTTCAAATTACTGCTACTAGATATTATCTTTATATATTACTTTTAAAGAAATTATATAATGAATCTGCAGGTTATGTATACATTCCTCGCATTGTGAAAAACTGACGGTATGTAGAGCCATCAAATTTTGAATAACGTAGTTCTTCCCCAAAACTGTGCACCTGAAAGCCTGAATTATGAATTTCGAATTTTATTTTTCATATTTTGTAAAAATTTAATGAATTTTTGATTAACAAATGCAACGATTTGAAAGTGAGCAGTTGCAGCACTGCATAAGTAGTTCAGTTCTCCTAGCTATAAATTCTTGAAAGTGAAGCTAATGAACGACTGTTGGTAATTATAAATTCGAACAAAGAACACTAGATGGGATACAACTACGTTATGTTTTTCTTCCATATTAAATCAAAATATTGATAAATTCCTAATTTCTAATTAACTCTGGTATTCTTTTTAATCATTTTTCCTTTTCAATGCCATGGATTCATAGACATAGTCCTCTCCAGCATTTTGAAAAACTAGATCAGAAAATCAGTATCATGTAGGATACTGGAAGTTTCGGTTTCTTTAAAGCCTACCAGGGACCGAGCCGTTAAAGTCGCTAAACACTGGTCGTTCGACGCCGGCTTGAAATCTCGGCTAACGGCCTGGTTGTATAGTTGTTCTCGTAGTTTTGCCAAATGGATACGAGCCGAATTTCCTTAGAAAGTCTTCTACGAAGACGTACCTTCCCTTAAGCAGGTAGCCTTGTGTGCTTTAGGGCAATGAAACAAACCAAATCTTTTTTTTTTTTTTTTGAACTCTTCGCAAAATTAATTCCGGTGCGCCTATGATTCCTTCATATATTTCTCAAACTCGATCATTGAACTTTATCTCTAGGTAACAATGTTGAGTGTTGCAATGCATCTTGAGTTTCCATCTTTGAACAATTTAGTACGCGAGATATCTGGTAATTGTATAATTAAGCTAAGCTTCTAGATATCACAGCCACACCCATTTGTCTCTCTTTATTCCACTGTTTAAGTGATTTCGTCTAATTTTTCTAGTCTTCCAATTTTGTGCAAACAATATTTGGGTATTACTTGTAGTTAAAAATAGCTTAAGAAAAATAGGCGAAAATTACGTATACTTTATTAAGTTGGAAAATCATATCATTAAAAATCTTCGAATATTTCCAAAAAAATAATTCATACTTTATTTGAAGTAAAGTAATGAGCACTATTCAAATATTCATTGACTTGAATTCTTCAATAAATTTTTCTTAATCACCCTATTAAGTCGTTTTTTCCATGATAAATTCTTAGATTAGTCTTAATTTCTATCTGGAAAATGGAAATTCATTGTTGAAAGATAAAACTTTCGAATCTTCCAGAGGTACAGATCATAATTTAATGCGTGTTGATTTAAAATTGCTGGAATAGTAGTCTGATGTTCAGGATATAATCCTTAGATGAGAAGGAAGAAATTCTATATTGGTAAAAAAAAAAAAAAAAAAAAAAGAAAAGAAAAGAAAACTTAGGTTTTTTTTTAAAACACTATGAAGAATAAGAATTTTGAATACTAATATAAGGTTATATTTGTTAGTGAAAACAAATTTAGAATTTGTGGTTCGGATGGCAAATTAATAGTATGGAAGAGAGCCAAAAAAGTAGTTCGAAGATAGAATTCAAATTCAAGAGTAAAACATGGTGATTCAGTGCAGCCAGTATCCTTGAGCTCATAGATTATGTTCCTGGATTTATAACAGTTGATTATTCATATTTTAAAGCAAAATTTGAAACCTTCAACCAAAGAAGTAATTTGCAAAGTCATTTTGAATTTTACCAAAACAATCATCTTACACATATTGCTTTGAATGTGAGATTCTGGTTGCCAAACAGTTCCCCAAAACAATAGAGGAACTGCCTAAATCTCTATACTTAAATCCTATTGAAAGTAAATTGGCTAAAATCGGAATATAAAACTCTGTGGGACGTATTTCTTAAAATTTAGTAGCATGAGATATGTTAAGTAAAGCTAAGCGGCCGGAGGATATAGCTAAGTCCGCACAAAAAGATTATATCATTTTCAGAATCTAATATATATCTAAGAAAATATTAAAAATAGTTAATACTTTTATCGATATATTATGCAAATATAAATCAAGTGTTGACCACTTTTATTGGGATTAATTTTCACTGCAGCATTTATTATATTATCCATAATCAGTTTGCACCTGATATTTCCTAAAAACATGCATAAAAGTCTGAAGTACCTAAAAACTTAAATTTTTAATTGAAAAACTTTAAATAATTTTTGTGTTGCAGCAGTTATTTTATAAGGTATTTCTCCCGCTTTCCTAGCGTGCCTTCGTGGTGTAGTGGTTCTACACGCCGAGCCGGAGTTCCAGAGGTCGTGGTTCGATTCCCGGCGAACGCAGTTGCTAATTTTCATCTCTCCCGCTTTTCCAAATCACCTAATGTTTCTACAAGTGGCGCCCGAACTAAAAGGGTGTTGGATGAGGATTCTCCACACCCAGGATTTGGCGATTGGGTCCCCTGAAAACTTCAGTCGCCCTTTAAAAAAGGGGAGTATATAAGGTATTTCTCCCGTTTTCCTAGCGTGCCTTCGTGTTGTAGTGCACGCTGGGCCGGTATTCGAGAGGTCCGTGGTCCGATTCCCGGGGAAGGCAGTTGCTAGTTTTTCATCTCTCCGACTTTTCCAAATTACCTAATGACTCTACAATTTAACTGCTTTATTTTTCTTGTATTCGGTATTTGTTGGTATCTTTAACTGTCTACTGTATTTGGTATTTGTTTCTATTTTTATTGTATTCGGCATTTGTTTGTATCTAGCTATGATGGATTATTCGAGAAAACTTTTACTCGGCACAGCGTCTTAATCAATTTGTCCAGATAAACAAAGTTTCAAAAGTAATTTAGTTTTTCCTCCTTGATCTTGAAAGAGAATGTTAACGTGATCTAAGAATGTACCTGTGCACATTATTAGAAAATATTCGGGGTTCTAACGAGAGAGAATATGGACATGAGTAAAACGTTGCGTGAAAACAAGATGCGAAGAAAATGGCTCTTGAGATCCTATCATGCATGCAGATATTGAGGTGATAGTATTTTATTTATATCTGATTGCTACCCAAACAGTGGATGACAAATCCTAAATACAGTAAAATCCCTATTTTGTAGTTCCTGTACATAAGTCGAATAAT